GTGAAAATAGTTACACTATCTTGAGTAGACGACATAAAACATGTTTCCCCACGCACGGTATTATTAGTAGAATATTTTAAGGCGTCATTCTGTTTGGAGCAGAGAAACAAGTTTGTGGGATATGGAGGTCACTAAAAACTGTAAGTAAAATATATTTTAGATTTGCACTGCTGCAATCACGTGTGTGTGTGTGTGTGTGTGTGTGTGTGTGTGTGTGTGTGTGTGTGTGTGTGTGTGTGTGTGTGTGTGTGTGTGTGTGTGTGTGAGAACTTGACTGCCGAACGCGCACCTGCAGAATGATCAAAGAAATGTTTTATGCGCAACTTGCCCTCACATCCGGCGACACACACTGTTCCCAAAGCTTCGGTTTGGGTGATGCAAATGTCATGAAATTAAATACTCTTATCAAGCCATGAAAACAAAATACACATTTAGAATATATTTCATTAAATGACATTTAATAAAATGTGAAACTAAAAAGAAAATATAGGAAATATAGGCCTATATATGTATTAAAAAAAAAAAAAGTTAAAAATACCTGAAAGAAATGTAAGTCAAAATACTTACTGTTGGATTCATTGGTAAACGTGGAAACAGTGAGATTTGTTTTGGACTGGAATAGAGACCGGTCTTCTTCCGGGTCTAGACCTTGAAGCACTAGGAGGTAAGAGGTAAATGACAAAGTTGAGTTTTGGTGTCAAGATGTCTGACACTGATTGGCAACATCTGAAGAATCACCTTTAAGAAACTAACCACTTGACCAAGACTGTCTATGTGGTTTCCAGGGTGAATGTTATATTGTGTAAACCACCACACAATATAAGAGCCCCCCCCCCGAAGACACGCATATTCACAATATGGAGAATGCGAATCAATTAAGATACTTTAGATAAATGTTTTTGTGAAGAGGATTTTAGGTCACTTTAAGTTAACTGTAATTAAACCTTTCACACAATCCAACCTGACAGAACAAGAATACAATCAAATAAGATTAAAAAATAATAATTTTAATAAAAATGATGATAATAAAGTAAAGAGACTGAATATAGACTATTTTATCAAACAATGGACTATCGTAAAATGCATTAAAAAGGCCTATAATTCTCTATTACTAAATTATGATATATAAAGATAACATTTTTAATTAGATTTCCTTTTTAATAGGTTGAGAAGTACATTGAATGCCTTAAAAGCATACTTTATTTTTTTAAACTTATTTTATATTTATATACTTATATTATTGTTCTTGTTTCTTTCGTTGTATTTGTAATTTCAACTTTGATATAGCATTTACAATTTGTATCTTATTTGTACCTGTTGTTTATTTGTACCTGTTGTTTATTTGTACCTGTTGTTGCTGTGTTTAGTTATTAACTTTATTTGTTGTAGAGGGACAACGTACATTCATTGACATTTTACAGAGCAAATGTAAATGCACCCAATTATAGCCAAAAGGCTAGTTTCCATTGGTTGTCCCCCTGCCAGAAGGAGCATGGCAAAATTACCTATTAATTAAAAGAATAAATTACAGTAAAAACAAAACAATTACAGTATATATATAAAAAAACAGATGTGTTAAACATCTGTCTACAACCCACCCAAACCCAGCACTCACATCCACAAGATACACACACACACACAAACACCAGAAGTACACACACTCTAGTTTGCATTTATTTATACAATTTCTATTTTTTTGTGAATACCCATCTGTAAAATGCATTGGATTGTCTTTTTGGATGCCTGAAGGAAATAATAAAAATCATAATTGGATAAAAGTGTAACCGCTGTTGAAAATAAAGATTGTAGACATACCCACATAAAAACCCAACATTAAAAAACAACGCTCTATATATTCTAAATATCAACCAAATAGTCTTTACAAATACTATATTACTTTACTTTATTTGTAAAGACTATTTGGTTGTCTACTATATATTTACAATCCTATTTGTTAAAAAAAATACAAAAATATGTATACCTTGAAACAGACCGCTTGCCAGGATAGATAAGATGACATTCATCAGCTTCATAGTGGAGACTCAGGGAAGCGGCTCATTACCGACTGGTTCACTCTATATACTGCACCGCCTGTTATCTCTTTCCGGCTGCTCGCTGTGGTTTCCTGTTTGTTGGGCTTCAGTTTGCACCATTTGTATTGCCAAGAAAACTATCCCACTTCGACTGTAGTTAGAACTACAAACGAAGCCATGAGGCAATCATACAAAACATTATCCACTGAGTCTCAGAAGACAATGACAGACAGATGTTGCCATTACATAGACCTGACCATTTTGCTTTTTGGGGGAATATTAGTATGTATATTGTTGGAATTGATGAATACTAAATCGTATTGAATACTGAACAGTGTAAATGTTATTTCATTCGTATTACATAGATACAATAAATTACGTGAAGCTTGATTAGCCTACCGTCTAAACTCATTTAGTTTGTTTTGCTAGTCTGTGGATTCTGAAAGTTAAATAAAACCCCCAAAATAAATTGTTATAAGTTATATTGTGTTAATAAAACAAGGATGGTGACTACCTTGTTCATGGGGTCCACAGTCCCAGCCTACTAACGAAGCTCACCTCTCCTTAGCGCCCTAATTACTCTGCTGCTCCCCTCATTCTCCGCTCAGTGTGAGTCCTATGACAAAAATAAAAATGCAGGTTTTTATAAAGAAACAGATTCTGTATTTATACAGTGTCTGTGCATCTTTGGCATAGAAAAATTAACTTTCTATGATAGAAATATGACAGAAATAAGAACGCATGTTTAAACTAACACAATGCCACATAAGAAGATCAGAAGAACAGTCTTGTATTTATTTAAAAAAAGGTTTATTTTTCAATGACAAAAATAAGAAAACATGTTGGGGCTTTTTTTTTTTTTCTTTTAACAGCGAGCGGCTGTCAGAAGTAGAGTTTGGCCATGGCTTGTAGAAACCGCTTCTTTCGTTTCTGCGCTGCTAGCTGCAGAACTTCCTCCGGGTTACTGGTGTTGAGCTCCGCCTGGCCAATTGCTTTTATCTAGAGACGGAGAGGGAGAGGGGGGAGAGGGGGAGAGAGAGAGAGAGCGAAAGAGCGGGGGGGGGGGGGGGGCACGGATGAGGGTGAGAACGAGAAAGAGCGAGACAGACAGTGTGAGAGAATGCCAGAAAAGAGGGAGAGTGACAGAGGTTATTAGGTTGTTTTTATTTAATAGTTAAATGCAAGTTGAAGTCAAGTGTGTGTGTGTGTGTCTCACCGCTATCTGTCTCTTCTCGCTCTCCCCGCGTTTGTGATGAATGTCTGAAGGCGGAGTTAGAGGGGCAAACGGCTCAACATTCATGAAAGCCGACCAGTCTGACGGCGCGCGCACACACACACACACACACACACACACACACACACACACACACACACACACACACACACACACACACACACACACACACACACACACACACACACACACACACACACACACACACACACACACGTGGAAGGATACGCGTGAGGTACTCCAGGATGGTGACGTCCCAGATGTAGTCGTAGAAGGAGTCCATGGCGTCGTGGCTGGAAGCACCAAACACACCTCAGTTGGATATTGATACGCCGGGCATTGGGTGTGATTGACTGGTTTTCTAGGGATAATCAATACTTGGAGGGACGTACCCGTTCTGTTCCTGGAGAGCTTTGAACGCCGTCATGTAGTCCACTTCTCTGAGGAACTGGCACAGAACCGCCACCTATATCCACAAATTTAAAAAAAAAAACTTTATTCATAAAGTTTGTAGGACATACACAGTATCAACACTGCTACCTGCAAATTAAAAACATTAAATCTATGAAGTTTATTTAACTGTTATACGACTGATATGGTGTGTTATAATTAGTTTTTGACTAATTTGAATGGTATTGCATCGTCATGAAATGAAGATATCGACTTATCGTGATACCCAGTTTTATAGTATAAATTAATTACAATGAGAAGAGTATGGGTAATGCTCTAACCTGAGGGGATTGTGGGTAACGCTCTAACCTGAGGGGATTGTGGGTAACGCTCTAACCTGAGGGGATTGTGGGTAACGCTCTAACCTGAGGGGATTGTGGGTAACGCTCTAACCTGAGGGGATTGTGGGTAACGCTCTAACCTGAGGGGATTGTGGGTAACGCTCTAACCTGAGTGTGGCAGTTCATCATGGAGCAGCACTTAATCATCCGCTTCAGCACCTGCAAAAGAAGGCGTCAGGATTTCAACCGGCAGACTTTCAAATCAAGAACAAGATCACAATCTGTCTTTTGTTGCTCATCCCATGGTTATATTTTGTCTATAGATGGCAGATACAGGCGCCCATTCTGTCTTCTGTGATCCTTCTGAAGGTTTCTTATCGTGTTTCCCTTTGGCCTTTATAGCGCTGTGTTTTTCAACCTGTGGTACGAGTCCCCCTGGTGGTACGACAGGGTACTGCATGTAATATGTGGGATTTTCATTTTTTAAATGGGGCACTGCTGGCACTCTTTGCCTACCCACTGCATGTGTGTTTATCTCTTTTCTACCGTTTGCATCTACCTGGTCGGTGTAGACTTCAGGGGGTACCGGCCTGGTGAAGAAGTCTGAACACACCGCCCCCGCCTGCAGGTAGAAGTGCAGAGCGGCAGAGTACTGGCTGGTAACTAGAAAAACAAGAAGAAGAAGGAGAAGAAGGAAGAAGAGGAGGATGTTACGTTCCAAGGCCGCCATCCTGGTCCGGAAGTAGTACTCACAATGGTCTTTATCAGGTTTTTAGTGTCCGCAAAACAGCGTGATGCTTCTTAGCCAGCAGCAAATACAAGTGGGTTAAAAAGAAAAGAAGAGAGTTTGTATTGCAAGTATTGATGAAGCTCATTGGTATATGGATATCATATAAGGACGCTTTTATCCCAATCAACTTCCAGTGACTACTGATGCATGTCACTGGGGAGCAGGTAGGGGTAAAAGCGTCTAACCTTCATCATCATGGATGATGCAGGTTATACTGCGGACCTCGGGGATCGAACCCAGAACCTCTCGGCTGGGAGTCGAACACCCCAACGACTACGCTATCCTGCGGCTTTGCCGTCATGTGTGGACCCCAGGATGATCAGCTGACCAGAACCGTTTTTTAGTGAAATGGGGAACAATTAAACAAGACGACCCCCCTGACCCTCCTCCCCCCCCCCCCCCCAGCCAGCAGGGGGCAGTAGAGGATCTCCTCCGTACCGAAGTAGATGTCTGCCTGGGTGATGAGCCAGGACTGGTTGTTGGGGTTGAGGGTGAGGGCGTAGGACACCAGCTCCTTCACCGTGACGGCCACCGCCTCCACGTCCACCGCCTGCAGGCTGCACACGAGACATGGAGAGAGACCGGAGAGACCGGGAATAAAAACGGTTGAGCCTTTTTTTTGTGAAGCAAATCGTTAACAGAGAATAATTTCAGATTTTTCTTTACGCGTGCGCGATTGATGAAAAAAGTACATTAAAAAAAATCTATATTTACATTAAATACAAAATGTATCTTTGCTTATAAATACAAAACACAAATAAATAATACGAGACTAAATAACAACAGCAAACACTACAAGTGGCTACTTACTTGGCAAGAGTGGAGGGCCAGATGGTGAGGTGTTCAGCTGTGACTTCATTGACGATGTCATCCTTAAAAAGGAAGACAAACATTTGGTTATTGACAGGAGCAACAAAAATGTAAGTCTGGGGTTCATAGTACTGTATTCTTAAACGCCGGATCAACTGTCGTTTCACTTTGCTCATATTGCACATCAACCGGCAAACCAGGATGGCCACACCACCTAGGTTGCCAACATTGTAAAAGGAGAGGGAGAGGGAGAGAGGGAGAGATTGAGACTCACCCGCACGATGCTATGGAGCCTGACGAACAGGGAGATGAGCGAAGTCAGCACCAGCGGTTCCTGCCAGAGTTTAGAAGAACACTTAAGTTTCATCCTAACGCCATAAACCTGGCATTAACGGTTCACACACACACACACACACACACACACACACACACACACACACACACACACACACACACACACACAATACTCACCCTCAGCTTCTTAATGAAAGTGATGAATTTGCTCCTAAAAACAGGGAAAGGTATTTAGGATGGCTGTTTGTTGCTCAAGAAATATGGCAGCACATAACGCGTGTCAAATACAGTATTCTTTGTTACAATAAACTTAAAGAGAATTTTTTTGGGTGTATTTTTACACCCTGACCAACATGTGTGTGTGTGTGTGTGTGTGTGAGAGAGAGAGAGAGAGAGAGAGAGAGAGAGAGAGAGAGAGAGAGAGAGAGAGAGAGAGAGAGAGAGAGAGAGAGAGAGAGAGAGAGAGAGAGAGAGAGAGAGAGAGAGAGAGAGAGAGAGAGAGAGAGAGAGAGAGAGAGAGTGAGTGAGTGAGTGAGTGAGTGAGTGAGTGAGTGTGTGTGTGTGTGTGTGTGTGTGTGTGTGTGTGTGTGTGTGTGTGTGTGTGTGTGTGTGTGTGTGTGTGTGTGTGTGTGTGTGTGGAGCAACCAATCAAACATGCAAGGGATAAAAAAGCACAGTGAGCCGGTCATTATTGCGACGGACCGCTGCATGATGCCCAGGCTGGACTCCCGGTGCTTGATGAGGCCCAGGCGTCCGTCGCTGTTCCTCTTGTGCTGCACCGACATGCTGCAGATCTGCACCACCACCTCCCACAGCTCCTTGGCCGTGCGCCGCGTCTCCTTGGGGCCGGGGAGCTCCTTGCAGGTGGACGCCAGCAGCTGACCCAGCTGCCAGAGGTCAGGTGGGGGGGGGGGGGGGGGGGGGGGGGTAGGAGGAGGGGGATTTGAAGGGTTAATAGAGTGATAGAGGAGTTTGAAAAGGACACTCAGACCACGTTGGCCTAAAGATTACCCAAGGTGCCTTGCTGCTGAATGTAAATTCAGTTAAGACGACTAGTTTGTGTGAACTATTTCATGAACAGAAAGCTTATATTAAAAAAAAAAACTGAAAAATGTACAATACTGGCAAAATAATACAAAAAAACATTTCACGCCCTAAGGTTTGAAATGAATGCCTTATCAGAATCCTCATTTCACTGTATAATAAATCTGCTACATAATCATCATAGTGTCAGTCCGTGTCTCATATGTGCTAATGCTACTGCCGCTAAACAGAGGCTAGATATAGAGGAGCCGTAACAGCTACTGTAGAGGGAGGAAGGAGGAATGAGGAACCCAGGCAGGCGGAGACCCTCACCTTGATGTAGGGGTTGTTCTGGACCAGCGGCGGGGGCACCTGCAGGGTCAGGTAGTCGTTCTCCCGCCAGTTCAACATGAAGGCCACGCACTCCTCGCCCACCACCTGCCTCAGGGGGAGGTCTGAGGGGACAGAGGGGACACAGGTTACCTTGCGAGATCGCAATCGTGCTTGCGGCCGAACCACAGTGGTTCGGACCAATCAGCGTCCTATGAGGAACTACTGGCAGCTATGGGCGCGGGTGGTTTAGGTGTGACCATATAGGTCTACGGTGTGACGACAGCGAGAAGCGACTGTTCGTTCGAGAGCAACAATGGCGGCTCCTGAAGAGGTAAGCGGAGACGGGTGACTGTACAAAGTTACTACAAAAAACATTACAGATAACGCAAAAAAACAGAATGCTCCTATTTTTGTGTTTTGCATGCATCTTGGAGTTTTAATCATTCGTTAATGAATGACAGTCGTCTGTCCACTGCCTCTGTTTGTTAAACATTCTACACTACTGACAGTGTGGCACCAAAATAGCCAATTATCAAAGTCATAATCTCTCCAATCGGAAAAGTATCCGCACTTGGGGATATAGGTAAGGTAGTTAAAGGTGCTTTTTAAAATCAGGGCCGGGCGATATGCACACACACACAGACTCACCGTGGATCCTCATCTCCAGGTATCCCCGGACCCGGCTCACCAGGTCGGAGGGGGGTCTGTCCCGGCAGCCCTCCGAGGCCAGGGTCTCGTGAGCGCGCACCTCCAGCAGCAGCATCTCGTTCAGCATCACCTGGCGCAGCCGCGGGGAGAACTCCGTCACCAGCTCCAGGGAGGCGGAGAACAGCTGGCGGGCGTGGCCAAAGTCCTGGAAGGAGAGAGGGGGGGGGGGGGGGGCGCCGGACGCAATGCATCATGGGGGTTAGAAGAACACAGAACAAGCCGTCGCAGCTATCTATCTCTGGAATTGAGGAAGAGAAGAGTCAGGGTTTTTTAACAGACCTTTATGGTGATACAGTGGAGACCCTTGGCCATCAGGATGTAGACCAGGTCTTTAGTCAGGTGGTCTTTGATGCCCAGGATCACATTGATGTAGTCTGGGGGCACCTCCCACTGTAACACACACACACACACACACACACACACACACACACACACACACACACACACACACACACACACACACACACACACACACACACACACACACACACACACACACACACTTCAGTCTAGTGGAACAATAAATACTATGCGTGTTTGGTTTATATGGACAATTGTATCATATATTCATATAAAACTGTGGATAAGTGAGGGCATTACATTGATTGCATTATTTGTTGACAGTCATTAGAGTTACTAGTTAGCAATAGCCTAGCCTAGCTGGTCACCCTTTAGCAACCATCTACACCCCAGCTAATACCAACAGCTGCTACTAGCCCCGTTCATCAGTTGGTGTATCCGGGATGCATAACGGGGATGGGTGTGTATGTGTTCTGCGGTTGACCTCTGACCTTGCTGTTGACCCTCCAGAAGGGCCTCTGGGCGATGCCGTGCAGCTCGATCAGGATCTGGCGCACCCTCCGGGGGTCCAGGGACAGGATCAGCTGCTGCTCCAGCTGACCGATGCTCACGCTGGCCGAGGCTGCAGGAGACAACACAGAGACAGGGAGAGTTTAGTTTAGTATCTATATATCGAATTTAAATCAGTGAGAGACAGTGTGTGAGAGAGTGAATGTGAGTGAGTGAGTTGAAGTGAGTTAGAGTGATTGAGTGAGAGAGATAGTGTGTGACTGAGTAAGTGAGTGAGTAAGTGAAACAGAGAGTGCGTGTGAGTGAGAGTGTGTGTAAGAGAGCGCGAGGGCGTGTGAGCGTGTTAGGGTTACCTGGGATGTCGTAGAAGGAGGGCAGCGGCTTGGCGCTGAGGTTGATGGTGGCCGACCGCTTCCTCATCTGCTCCACCAGCACCTTCCGCTCCTCCTCCCGCAGCAGCTCCATGAACAGCTTGTGGGACGACACCACGAACACCAGGGGGAGCTCCTCCAGGCTCTCACACAGAGTCCTGGGTGAGAAACGGAGACGTTGATTCGTTATATTTGTTCCTAATCTCCTTTTTAAATTTGTACTAGCGCAGGGCTCTGTTCAAAACACGCCTGTTCCCTTCTGGGATTAATAATAAAGCATCTTATATTATTTTTATTGATTCATATTACTAATATACATTATTAGTTATGGAGTACCACATGGATTGTATGTCCTGTGCTTGCACTTGTATCACCGTCATCACTATTTAGTGACTAAGCGTATGCTTTCATCCACAGCTACTTGCAGTGAATACAGATACACCATAGCCACGACACTAAACGGTGTTCTGTGGACGTGGGTTGAAAAGTGTCGGATGTTTCTTCGCTTACTTCATGAAGTTGGCCATGTTTCTCCGAGACGTCTCGGAGGGGCGGTCCTTTTCTAGGGACCGCGTGCACACCTGCAAGGTAAGGATATTTACTGGCTTTATTGTGCACTGCATTTTTGGGAAATAATTAAATCCACATTTTTAAAAACGTTAAAAATAACAATGTATTATAGTTTGTTGAAACTCCGACTCTAATATTTGATTTGATACATTCACAATAACTGGATAATAATCTTGTCATAACAATAAGTTATTTTAATAAGTTAAACCTGCACTATGTAACTTTTCTACTGCAGCTATTTACTCCATTAAAAAATATCTGAACTAGAAAGTTTCTCAAGAATAAAATGCAGCCATTCATGAGTCAAAGAAAATTAGGGAGCGGTAACCGTTACAACCGCTACAATATAAGCCACGAGAGGCTGCTAACG